ACATCTAACATGAAAAATGTGGAGGCAGAGGAAAGAAAAAAGTACCTTTAGACTGTGTTTGAAATAGAGTAATCAGCAATTTAAGATAGGCTATTATATAGTAAGGAAGCTATATTTGAATTTTTGGTAACCACAAAACTAAAGCCTACAATAAATACACACACACACACAGACACACACAAATTAATTAATTTTAAAAAAGAGCAATCCAATTACAACACTAAAGAAAACCATTAATAACAAGAGAAGAGAATAGGAGAGGAAGAAAGGAACAGAGAGGTGCTATAAAAAACAGCCAGAAAACAATTAATAACATGGCAGTAAGTATATATTCTATCAATAATTACCTTAAATGTAAATGGACTAGATGTATGAATCAAAAGACATATAATGGCAGAATGGATAAGGCAACAAGACCCATCCATCTATCTGCTGCCTACAAGAGACACACTTCAGACCCAAAGATATACACAGACTACAAGTGATGGGATGGAAAAAGGTATTCCATGCAAATAATAGGGAGAAAAAAGCAGGAGTAGCAGTACTTATATCAGACAAAATAGACTTCAAAACAAAGGAAGTAACAAGAGACAAAGAAGGATACTACATAATGATAAAGGGATCAATCCAAGAGGATATAACCATTATAAATATCTATGCACCCAACATAGGAGCACCTAATATGTAAAAGAAATACTAACAATTAAAAGGAGAAATAGACTGCAACACATTGATTGTAAGAGACTTTAACAAAGAAAATAAGGAAACAGAGGCACTGAACACTACATCAAATGGACTTAGCAGAGATCTATAGAACACTCCACCCAAAAGCAGCAGCATACACACATACACATTCTTCTCAAGTGTACATGGAATGTTCTCCAAAACAGACCACACACTAGGCCACAAGAAGAGCCTCAACAAATTCAAGAAGATTGAAATTACATCAAGCAGCTTCTCAGACTACTGTAGTATGAAACTAGAAATAAATTACACAAAGAAAAGAAAAGACCTACAAGCACATGGAAACTAAACAACATGCTTCTAAATAATTGATAGATCAATGAACAAATTAAAACAGAAATCAAGCAATACATGGAGACAAATGAGAACAAAAACACAACAACCCAAGATCTGTCAGAGGCAGCAAAGGCAGCTCTAAGAGGAAAGTATATAGCAATACAGGCTTACCTCAAGAAATAAGAACAATCCAAATAAACAGTTTAAAATCACAATTAAAGAACTAGAAAAGGAAAAAAAAAGATGAAGCCCAAAGTCCATAGAAGGAGGGTCATAATAAAGATCAGAGCATAAATAAATAAAATTGTGAAGAATAAAACAACAGAAAAAGTCAATGAAACCAGGAGCTGGTTCTTTGAGAAAACAAACAAATCAGATAAACCCCCAGCCAGACGTCAAGAAAAAAAAAGAGTGTACACACATAAACAGTATCAGAAATGAAAAAAGAATAATCACAGTGGATACCACAGAAATACAAAGAATTATTAGAGAATACTATGAAAAATTATATGCCAATAAGTTGGACAATGTAGAAGAAATGGATAACTTCCTAGAAAAATACAAGTTTCCAAGACTAACCCAGCAAGAAACAGAAAATCTGAACAGACCAATTACCAGCAATGAAATTGAATTGGTAATCTAAAAACTCCCAAAAAACAAAATTCCAGATCCAGATGGCTTCACATCTGAATTCCACCAAACATTTAAAGAAGAGCTAGTACCCATCCTCCTTAAAGTATTCTGAAAAGTAGAAGAGGAATACTTCCAAACCCATTCTATGAGGCCAGCATTACTCTAATACCAAAACCAGACAAAGACACCACACACACACACAAAAAATTACAGACCAATATCCCTAGTGAACAAAGGTGCAAAAATTCTCAACAAAATATTAGCAAATCAAATCAAAATATACAACAAAAAGATCATCCATCATGACCAAGTGGAATTTATTGCAGGGAGGAAAGGATGGTACAATATTTGTAAATCAGTATCATACACCACATTAACAAAAAGGATAAAAACCACATGATCATCTCAATAGTTGAAAAAGCATTTGACAGAATTGCCATCCATTCATGATAAAAACTCTCAACAAAATGGGTATAGAGGGTACATACCTCAATATAATAAAGGCCATATACAACAAAACCCATAGCCAACATTGTATTTAACAGCGAAAAACTGAAAGCTTTTCCTCTGAGATAACAAGTAAGACAAGCATGCCCACTCTCACCACTTTTATTCAACAGAGTACCGGAGGTCCTAGCCATGGCAAACGGACAATACAAAAAAGATAAAAGGCATCCAAATTGGTAAGAAGGAAGATAAACTGTCACTATTTGCAGGTGGCATGATATTATACATAGAAAACCCTAAAGAATCCACCAAAAAACTACTAATAGAACTAATAACCGAATTCAGCAAAGTTGCAGGATACAAAATTAATACACAGAAATCTGTTGCATTCCTATATACTAACGATGAACTAGCAGAAAGAGAAATCAGGAAAACAACTCCATTTACAATTATATCAAAAAGAATAAATACCTAGGAATAAACCTAACCAAGGAGGTGAAAGACCTATACTCTGAACACTACAAGACTCTCATGAGAGAAATTAAAAAAGACACCAAAAAATGGAAATCTATCCCATGCTCCTAGATAGGAAGAATAATGTCAAAATGGCCATCCTGCCTAAAGCTATTTACAGATTCGATGCAATCCCTATCCAAATACCAACACCATTCTTCAGTGAACTAGAACAAATAGTTCTAAAATTCATATGGAACCACAAAAGACCCCAAATAGCCAAAGCAATCCTGAGAAAGAACAAAGCTGGGGGGATTGCACTCCCTGACTTCAAGCTCTACTTCAAAGCTACAGTAATCAAAACAAGAACAGACACACAGATCAATGGAACAGAATAGAGAGGCTACATATAAACCCACATATATATGGTAAATTAACATATGTTAAAGGAGCCATGAACATACAATGGGGAAAAGACAGCCTCTTCAACAACTAATGTTGGGAAAACTGGACAGCTACATGTAAGAGAATGAAACTGGATTATTGTCTAACTCCATAAACAAAAGTAAACTCGAAATGGATTAAAAGACCTGAATGTAAGTCATGAAACCATAAAACTCTTAGAAGGAAACACAGGCAAAAATCTCTCGATATAAGCACAAGCAATTTTTTTACTGAACACGTCTCCTTGGGAAAGGGAAACAAAATAAAAAATGAACAAGTGGGACTACATAAAACTAAAAGGCCTCTGTACAGCAAAGGACACCATCAGCAGAACAAAATTCATAAATGACTTACCTGATAAGGGGTTAACACCCAAAATATATAAAGAAGTTATATTCCTCAACACCCAAAAAACCAATAACCTGACTACAAAATAGGCGGAGGATCTGAACATACATTTCTCCAAAGAAGAAATAAAAATGGCCAATAGGCACATGAAAAGATGCTCCACATCGCTAATCATACGGGAAATACAAATTAAAACCAAAATGAGATATCACCTCATACCAGTTAGAATAGCCAATATCCAAAAGACAAGAAACAACAAATGCTGGTGAGGATGCAGAGAAATAGGAACCCTCCTACACTGTTGGTGGGAATGCAATTGGTGCAACTGCTGTGGAAAGCAATACGCAGGTTCCTCAAAAAAGTAAAAATAGAAATACCATTTGACCCAGAAATTGCACTCCTAGGAGTTTACCCAAAGAAAACAAGATCCCTGATTCAAAAAGATACATTCACCCCTATGTTTATTGCCACACTATTTGCAATAGCCAAGATATGAAAGCAACCTAAGAGCCTATCAATAAATGAATAAAGAAGATGTGGTACATATACACAATGGAATATTATTCAGCTATAAAAAGAAAGAAATCCTTCCATTTGCAGCAACAAGGATTGGTCTAGAGGGTGTAACACTCAGTGAAATACGACAGGTGGACAAAGACAAATACCATATGATTTCACTTATTTGTGGAATAAAAAAAGAGCAAAACAGAAGGAACAAAACAGCCTTAGATTCATGGACACTGAGAAGTGACTAGCGGTTACAAAGGGGGTGTGGGGTGTGGGGGACAGGGGTATAAAAGGGCACAATAATTCACAATCACAATATAGGTTGATCACGGGGACTGCTGAACCATTGTGATGTGCATTTGAAACCAACATAAGATTGTGTTTTAATAAGATTTTTTTAAAAGGGAGTACATGGATGAACACAGTAAAGCAAGAACCAGTTACAGAAGGCTACATATTATATGATTACGATTCCATTTATAGCAAGCATCCAGAAAATGTGAATTCATAGAAATAGCAGATCACTGGTTGCCTGGGGTGGAATGGGAAGCAGCTGAAATGGGCACAGGGCATCTTTCCAGTGTGACAAAAATGTTCCAAAATTGTGCTATTAATATATATGAACTTACCAAAAATCATTAAATTTAAAATTAGTAAACTGGATAGCATGTAAACTATAGAGCAATAAGCTGTTTTTAAAAAATGAAGTCAGACTTCTGAGTTGGACCAGTTAGGTCCTTTGCCAGATAATTTCCATAAACTAAATGAGCTAAATCTGCAACTTCTAGATTTTACTCAACATAGGTTTCAAATATGCATATAAAAAAGACAAGATAGGATGACAATATATCCTTTGCAACTCTTTAGAAATATAATGAAAAATACTTTAATTGTCAACTTACAAATGTGTAAGGAGGAAATTTATTTTTCTACCATAAGCTTGGGAACAGGTCAGCCCATCATGACAACAGGCAAAATAAAAGAAGCTAGAAGCTTCTAGTTACCCATCGCAGAGCAAATGATGAGGATTCCAGTGCATTCTCAACACTAATGGAGGAGAGAATGAGAAAACTAACACTGAATTGCAGGTGGCCTCTTGCCTGCTTTCATTCCTCTATCATGGGAGAGCCATGACAGGAGGCATTTACCTTGCAAAAGTCTTGCCTCCATTATCCCTGGGGCTGGGAGAAAGCTGAAATACAAATAAGATATTAAAAAAAAAAAAAAAAGTAAGTCTCAGTTTGGGCTTTTTCCAAATCCAATTCCTTCACGGGTAATTTTGACTTCAACTCATTTTCTCCAGATACTGAGCTCCCAAACAAGACCCAACCCTGCTATACTTGTTGGAATGCCTCTTTCAAACCAAGGGCAGAACCGTCTTGCTCACCCCGGTACCTCCCGTCTGGCCAACATCCGCTTCAGACTCCCCACTCAGGCACCAAGCTAAGTGCGAGGGATACGGAGTGAGCAAAGATAAGAGCACTGTCCTGCCCTCCTGGAAAAAAAAAAGTATTTCTCAAACATTAAGAAAACAGTAAATAATCACATAAGCAAAACCAAAACTATGAGGGAAGTGGAGGCACGTGGGTAACGGAGGAACATGTGGATATATCTGCTCTTCATCCATATTAACTCATTTAACCATCAAAAGATCCTACAAACCAAATGCTATAATTACTCTATTTTAGGGATGAGAGACATTTAGGCAGAGACATCAAGAAACGCCCAGAGTCACAGCTCACCAGATTCACAGGACGGCCTGACTCCAAAAACCTAGTGTAATCACCAAATTCGTTGTGTCAATAAATGTCGGAGGAAGGAGTGAACTGGAGACAGCCACAGCAGATTAGCAAGGGGAGTTGCGCCGAGGTAAGGGGCTGTGGAAAGGGCGATCCACAAAGGGCCGACCGGCCCACGGCGAGGGCACGCCACGGAGGAAGGAAAAGGGAAAGGCCGGGGCTGGGAGGGGGCCCGGAGCGGCTGCTGGAGCTTCCCGAGTTCGTTCTGGGGCAACGCTTCCAGCCCACCCACCCACTTCTCTGCTGAGGAAACTGAGACTCCCACGGAGTCAGAAAACCGAGGTTTCTGAGGCGCCACCGCGGCCGCCGCCGCCGCCTCGGCCTTCCGGAGCTCCCCATCCGAGAGGTCTTTAGGGGCCGGGGACGGCGGTGAGGCCAGGCCACGCCGCCTACCCTTGGTGAGCCGCTTACCTCCAAGTATACAGCCGAACTATACTTCACGGTTCCCTCGGAGAGCCTCCGCGTGCCGCTTCCCTCCAACCTCTCCACTCCCAGCATGCTCTGCGCGCCTCCGGTCCCGCCCCAGCAGGCCCCTCCCTCTGCACCCCATCTGGGCAGCGCAGGCGGCTCATAGGCCCCCTGCCGGCAGGGAGGCGCGTGCCTGCGCCGTGCAGAAGCTCACTGTCTTTACCTCTTCGCTTTCGCTTTCTTAGTCTCTCCTTTCCCTTCCCCCCCCCCTCGTTTCCGTTGTCTTTGATTTTTTTCAATCATGCAGTCATTCCTTTATCCATTCTTTCATTCAACAAATATCTGTGTGCCAGAAACTGCTCAAAATGCTGTGGATAAGGCAGAGAAGACAACATTTTTACACCTATCAGCTTACATTCTAGCACACAAAGACGACAATAAATTAATGGCTTTCAAACTTTTTACCACTACGCACAATTGCAATGCATTTTATATCACTTTCCAGTGCAGATACATACACACATACATAAAACTAAAACTCGTTTCACAATGTTTGCCTTTTAGACTGTTCTTCCAAAGATGAACAGAAAACCTATAATCAAGCAACGCTAACTTTGTTAGATTTACTGCAGCACTAGAAAATACCGCATCAACAATCTTAGTAGTGTCTCAGGATGGGGAGGCAAGGAAAGGTAATTTATGGGGTTGGGGTCTGGGCATGGGTAGTTCAAGCAGGTCTTTTAAGATAGGAATGTATAAGGATTAGACAAATGTCATGACATAATATTTTAGGATTGGTGAAGAGCAAAGCAAGAGTCTTAAAGCAAGTTTTAATAAGTAAAACTGCTTTTGATAGGCAACCTGTTTTTCCCAGATGAGCAATCCTAATGGGAATTCTGATGGGAGAGCCTATTCAGCAAACAGTCCGTATAAATAAGCTGGACAAATTCCCTAAAGCAAACAGTAAAGTTATTTATTGGCTTATGGCCATATCTTACTAAACACAACATCATTTTTGCTGTCTTCTACAAGTCAAAGCAATAGCAAAGAGCAACCAGACTCAAGGGAAGGGGACATAGGCTCCACCTCTCCATCAGCAATGTCAGAGTTTGTGACCATCTAAATTTGCCACACTTAGGCTATTTGGAAGATAAGAATTTCCTTCTTCTGACCTAAAGAAAGATACTGGATCCAGGAGAGGTAGGCTGAATGGATTGGCTGGACATTGCCAGCTAAATTTCCTTCTGGCACAGAAATCTATATCTAACTTCACTTGCATTTTCTCAAGGGTCTCAAGCTTTGGCCTAGTCACCCGAGACATGTTCTCCTTTTCTGTGAATCACATCATAAGGTGAATTAGGGGGGTGTTCCTCAGGTCTATGATTATATAGACTTTCAAAGAAATCATCAAGTCTCTTTTCCCCATGTTCTTATCTCTGAAAGGGTGTTCTACCTGTTTTGGCTATGGAATGGAGAATACCAGAAAGTGACCAGTCTACAAACAAATGGAAACATATATAATTTTTTTCTGAAGATTGGCTATAGCATGAGGCATTTGTAAATAGCTATTAATCTTATACCCAGAAAAAAAATAATAAAACTCATAAGCCTAGAAAAAAGATTAACATAAAAGCAATTATTTCCCCCTTTACATTACTGTACATCCAAAGAGAATGAAGAACAGAATGACTAGAATAAGCCAAAAAAGATTTAAACAAGAAGGGCAAGGTGAGATTTTGATTCAGAAAATTGACATCCATTCTTCATGTCATCTACTTGATCTGATGGTCTTGGAGTACCTATTTTTCTTTCTCTACTGATTGCTTCTAGGAGAATCAGAGAATCCTCAGATGGTACTGAATGAATAACAAAATGTGGAAAAAGAATACAGTATAATATTATTCAGCCATGAAAAGGAAGGAATTTCTGACATTTACTACAACATGGATGAAATTTAGGACATTATGCTAAGTGAAATAAGCCAGTCACAAAAGGACAAAAACTGTATGGTTCTGCTTTCATGAAGCACCTAGAATCAAAATTATAGAGACAACATGCAGAATGATGGTTGCCAAAGGCTGGGGAAATGGGCAGTTAGTGTTCAATGGGTACAGGGTTTCAATTTTGCAAGATGAAGTGTTATGGACATGGATGGTGGTGATGGCTGTACAACAATATGAATGAACTTAAGGCACCAGAACTGTACACTTAAAAATAACTAAGATACTAAATTTTGCTGTATATTTTAGAATAAAAATTCATTGAAAAAAATTAAGCCCAAAAATGTGTTAAAGAGTCATCCCTGATGTCTTCACTGGATTCACCTTTCTTGCCTTTGTATCAGGATAAGAATCCTATTGATTTTCACAGAAAATTGTCTCCAAAACACCTTGTCAATGCATTAGCAACTTTATGAAACACCTCTGAGGCCCTATGCAGTTTGGGATCTGTTAGATCACCCTGAAGGTTGTGAAAATTATTAAAAGGAAACCTCACTAAAATGAGTCAGGTGGCCAGAAGGAGGAGCTTTTACACTATACCACTCAATGTCAATCACTGGAAGAACTGTCAATTACAGACCCCAACAGAAGAATGTCAATAGGAAAGAATCACCCAGCATAGGTCCAAACAGGAAAAGATGTACAGAAGAAGCACAAGAAATCAATTGATTATCCCGGCAATTCAGCCAATGATAAATTGTTATCACCCTGAACTCTTGCTTTTCTCCAGTGGGCTTTCATTCAAAAAACCCTTCCTAACTTCCTCCTTCTCCATAAAATAATTTTCTTCTCCTTTGTTGAACTTGCCTTTGGCTTTTGCCATACCTTGCTTGTCCTACATTTCAATTCTGTGCTATTTTGCTAGTAAAATAACTTTTAAGGAAAATAGGATCTTCCTACTATAATTCTTTTACTCAGTTTTTTGCAGCCAAGATTTTATTTGCAGCCAAGCTTCTAACATATGAACCAATTGATAAAGAGCTGGAAGTCCTGGACTATATGTTCCTAGAACTATTTCAAATTCATCTCTGAAGACTTTTGTTTTTTATACAACTTGAACCTTTTATTCCTCCAACTGAATAAAAGGGAATCTCTATGCTTCCAGTGAGCATAACATTTATTTTTAATTGTAGTAAAATACATATAATACAAAACGTACTACCTTAGCCATTTCTAAATGTTCAGTTCTGGCCCATTAAGTACATTCACATGTGCATCCCACATCACCATCCATCTCCAGAACTCTTTTCATCTTGTAAAACTGAAACGCTGTCCCTGTTAAGCACTAACTCCCCATTCCCCACTGCATGCAGCCTCCAGCTACTATCATGCTTTCTGTCTATGAATTTCACTACTCTAGGTACCTCATGCAAGTGGAATCATTCAGTGTTTGCCCTCTAATGACTGTCCTTGTCACTTAACATAATGTCTTCAAGATTCATCCATGATGTGTGATGTGTCAGAATTTCCTTCTTTTTGGAGGCTGAATAATATTTCACTGTATGATGTGGAGTGAATGTTTGTTTCCCCTACACACATACCCTGCCTCCCAATTCGTATGTTGGAGCCCTAACCCCCATTGTGGCTATTTTTGGAGACAGGGCATTTAAGGAGGTAATCAAGGTTAAATGAATTCATAAGAATGGACCCATGATCCTATAGGATTAGTATCCTTGTAACAGGAGATATCATAGAGCTCTCTCTCCCTAGCCTGCACCCATCCATCTCCCTAACCCCATGCACAGACACACAGACACACACACACACACACGCACACACACACATGCACATGCACACACACACACACACACACACACACACACCAAGGAAAGGTCATGTCAGGACATAGCAAGAAGGTAGAAAGCCAGGAAGAGAGCTCTCTCCAGGAACTGAATTAGCTGGAGCCTTGATCAGCCCTCAAAGCCAGACTGAAGGCAGACTAATGAGACCCACATCCATCTTCTTTCTATGAACTTTCTCTTATAGAGTCACAAAAAAAAGGGATGAGAACAGGTAGTAATAACATGATAATGTTGTTAGGAATAAGGAAGGCTTCCACCAAGGAGAAAAGGTTTCGGATCTGATCAGATCATCAGAGATTCCTCAAGTGGTATCCTCATTTCTATGAAAAAAATAAGCTCAACATTTAGGAGTTCTACAAAAAGAAATCAGTTCCATTGTGAGACATACATGACAGCCAAGGTTTCAAAGACTTCTAAGCAGTAGGTCCCCGAGGCTTTAGATACTCTTTCCTGGTTGAAAATCTATAATTGTCAGTAAGGGAGTCTGATCCTACTAGAGCCTCCAGAATGATTGAATGTCAGCTCCTGAAAAGAATACCAGAAAACCTGGTGACCAAGAACGGTTATATGTTGTATATGTATTGGTCCCACCACAGTGAAGGATTCCACCACCTTGGCAATCTAAGCAGTGTCTCAGTAATGGGAGGTCATGAGAGAATATGTATAAGGTTTTGGGATATGGGCTCAAATGGTTCAAGGAGAGATTTTCAATATTGATTGCTAAGTGAGCTATTTGCCCATGTGAATAAACTGTCTGCCCAGATAAATGGATTTACAGCAATTTCTTAAAGAAAACAGCAAAGTTATTGGCTAAGAGGCTTATCTTCCTGGACAAGATTTCCCAGAACTAATAATTAAGCCATGTGGCCTCAGTTCTCAGTCCTGATATTTAAGCCATATGGATGCAGGTGGTGTTGGCTTTTTCCCTGATTATATGTGATTGACTCCAATATTTTTCTTCTATTGTTTTTTTTTTAAATTTCTATTCAAATTTTTAAAATGCTAGTCCAAACCCACCACATTTCATAACCCACTGATAGGTCATAACCAGTAGTTAGAAACCATCAGTAAACCAATCATTTCAGATGTGTAAGAGTTTTGGAGAAAAAAAGATGTGACAGAGAGTACAGGAGTTTAAGGGTAGACCCCAAAGTATATGTCTACCCAGACCTATGAATGTGACCTTTTTGAAAAATCATCTTGTAATGTAATTAAGTTAAAGGTCTCAAGATGATCCTAGATTGTCTGGGTGGGCTCTCAGTCCAATGATAAATATCCTTATAGG